CCTCCCCCCCCCCCCCAAGGGAACTTGTTATACATCAACAAGAACTAAACAGAAGTTTTGGAAGAGGAAAAACTCCAGAACTTAAAAGTAAGAGCAAAAGGAAGGCTAAGACGTCTCCAGATATAATTACTCCCAGCGATGAGGAGAATAACGATTCGACTTGTAAGAAGGAAACAACTCATCTGAGGAAACTTCGATCAAGGAAGAAGAGAGCCTTATCCCCTAGCCCCAAATCGGAGGGGATAATTAGAGACTCATCCTCGGAGCGGATGTCTGCGGAAACCGAAAGGAGTTCCGGTTCGGAATCCAAAAGTGAGAAAAGGAAATCTCTAGATTCCCAAAAAACAAAGTCGGTAAAGACAAAAAAGGTAAGCAGGATTATTATATCCTCGGATGAAGAAGAAGGTAACAAGGACTTTGCCCCGCAAGATCTTAGGATAATGGGGGCCACTAATGTAGGAGCTCTTGGCTTGGATTGTCTAGATAGAGTTGAGAACATGAGAGCAAGAAGCAAAAATCTTCAAGGAGGTATCAGTGGAAAGATAAGGAAAGATCTAGAGAAAGCAAAAGACGTAATCAACACCCTAATTTTTAAATCTGAAGTCTCCGGAGATCCTGCTTATCTTAAAATTAAAAATAGAGAATTATCAGCGGAAATTGAAAGACTAAAACTGAAAGACATACTAAGAGAGAGGGAAGCTGAAGAAATGAGAACCATGATGGAGGAGCTCAAGAAGGAGGTCTCCGAATTTAGGGACAAGCTCGACGAAACAGAAGAGAATAGAAGAAAGGCAAGAGAATCTCTTCGTGTCACACAGTGGAAACTAAAAAAGGCACTTGGTAAGGAGGTAGAGGAGGATTCAGCAGCTGAACCTGGTAGAGGAGATATTAATCGCGATAATGAGAATACTAGGGATAAATTGAACTTACCTATGGGTGAGCGGGGATCCTCTCATATGGACACGAATCCCGAAGACTACCTGATGACGACGACGGCTGCAACCCCGAAGACAATTGGATCTGAAACAAAAGAAATAGAGGAAAATATTAGCAAACAAATCAAGGAACTAGTAAGAAAAAGGGCTGAACTAAGGAAGCGCAACAAACTAGAGAACAGTGGGACTGGTAGTGATACCAAAGTACACAAGGATACCCCACTGCCTCAACGCATCCCTAGATCTGGGGTTAAAATTAAGTCAAATATCCAGTTAATTCCCCCTAGATATGACAAGGAGGGCATAATTAAAGGGAGTTCAGGTAACCTAACTTTGGGTAACAATGAAGATTTGAGTGCCACTGCAGGACCATTACACCCTGTTGAGAAAGAGGAGTGGTCCAAAGTGGTAGGTAGAGTCAAAGCTAGGGGAAATTCTAGGGAAATTCAGCA